ATTTATTATTGTTTCTCATTAATAAAAAAACATCATCTATAATCCAACTGTTTATAGTTCAAGTTAATGCTATTATTTACTAGTTATTTCAAGTCCTTTGATGAATATACAAATTTCACTCATAACTTTTAAAGTTTTATTTTTTTTGCAAACTGCATTAGAAAAAAACATCGAATTAGAATTTTACTGACATAGTTTTTAATCACTTTTTGCCACTTCAACTGAGAACGCAGTTTATATAGGACTCTGTAGTCTAAATAAGTGCTGTGAAAAAAATTTATTTACAAACACGCATGATATTTTCATCCCAGTTCTCAAAGCACTTAATTAGTAAAAAAAACTACTCATTTATTATTGAAACACGCCCGTTATACATATACAACATCTGTTTCTTTCCTTTTTCACATTGCTATTGATAAGTAATCGGATTTCATAGTTAATTTCGAAATTTTGAATAAAATTTTCAGTTAAATAACAATTATGCAATCAAACATATTAAATTTTTTTTATTTTATTTTATTTTTTAAATCATACGCTTGTAAAACTTTATGAAATAAAGTAGTTTTTTTTTTTTTCGATGAAAATTTATCTAAAACTGTATTTATACGGCATCATCTATACATAAACTTCTCGAAATTTTTGGTTTTTTTTTCTCGCTATTGTAAACCCAACCTGCCAAAACAGAAATTAAAAAAATCAGACATGTAAGTATAAAAATAGTTTATAAAGGGCCAAAATCATGCTTTTTCAGTTCGCACCGTAATAATAAAAACCTAATACTAGTCATGGAAGGAATATATACTTGTAAAGTATCGTACAAATATGTGTTCCTTTGCTATCACAATTAGAAGTAAATGAGCCTAGCGTCTTCTGGATTTTGATCCACCGGGCAGTATGGGCATTTCAACCTGGAAGTGAATTTTCTTTAAAAAGTGTTTTCGCTATCAAAGCGCTTTAACTACTTCTTACTGAACGACTTACTTGTTGGCGTTGGTCAATTTATTCAAAGCATCACGTGAAATAACGTGACCGCAAACAAGCTTCATTGGTGGATTATTTTCCGTGCTCTGCTGTCTCAAGATTGGACATGCAAATACAGAGTGGTAGCGCCCTTGTTTTCCCAAATCAATTTCAATCTGCAAACAGAATATTTATATTATATCTAATGCTACAAGAAACAGAAAAATAATTCTACTACCGCTAGAGATTGTCTTACAGGAAGTTCGTCTTTTCCACTCCAGATGCCAGACACTTGTCGTTGTTGCATAACTTGTTTTATATTCAGTAAAGCAGGAAGCGCCGTGATTCCAGCTGTTATGCTAAAAGTAAAATAAATTTTGTTAATTTTTTATACTGGTATCTTTTGATGTACACGTAAAATGCACAGTAATCTTTACCACACGGATAACGGACTATCGACGCTTAGTCCTAATAGCGTGCACGCTTCCTTTGTAAAAACATCATGAATATCCAGCCACAGAGTGGGATCTAGTAAATGACTGTAAGGAGATAATTGAATTCCGTTTGGTAGGTACAGTAGTGTACCCATGAGAGATTGAACTTCTTTTTCGTGTCTACTGACAAATTGTGTCAAATGTTTTCGCGCATAGTCTATTGCTTCCCTTTGCTTACTTGGTCCTTGCTGTACCAATCTGATAAATTGTAACCTATGTAATTTGAATTCTAAGGAAGAATTCTGAAAATAAAAATGTTTTCATAACTTTTGTTCCTGTTGCTTGTAAACTACCACTATCATATGATCAATGAGAATGACATACTTGTGCAATGAGTGCTTCTCGGTGCTTTGATGCCCATTCCAAAGCTGGTTCTAAATTTTTTTGCTTCAGGCAATCGAGTATGTGATTTAATTCCGTGAATGGTTCTTTTCTACCCTCGTCAGTCTTGATTCCAGCTTCCTGAAATAAACCAACACAAAAATGAAATAGCTAATTGCCGAATCGAAAGTTTTAAACAAAATTAAAAAAAAAAAAAACAATTACTGCAGCCAACTCATCGGCAATGTCCAGCATTCCTTGGCGATAAAAGTGCTGACAAATGACCTGATTGAGTAGATGTGTTTTTTCTGCCCCAGAGAAGACATCCTCTCTACTTGTGCTGGCAAAGTCTGCTATAAAATTTCTGTCTATTGCTTTTCCTACCTTGGAAACCGTACTGTGCAACTCCCGATGATCTGTTGCCAATCTGTGAACTGTATCCCTTGCTTTGGTCATTGCTTGCTTCAAGATTTGCAATTGCTCCGACGTCAGTTCATGATCTGGTGGTGCTAAACGACAACAAAAAACAATAACAAAATAGGTATGAAGAAGATGCACAAGTTTTTCCTTATCTAGTACTTAGCAGTACCACAACAGCTGACAAGGAAAATAGAACAAAGATCCTTTCATTTAACTACTCAAAGCACTCAATTGTCATCAATTGCCTGGTAGGTACAATTAACCTTGTGAAAAATGTATATAGCTCTTATATCTCGACAAGGTAAACCTAGAACTCTGCCCACAAAAGTCACAAGTATAGACAGTTGTGTTGTGGGAGCCAATGCCTCCAAAGGCCTTTGTTTTGATGTGCGTTTGAGCGAAAAAAAAAAAAAAAAAAAAAAAAAAAAGAGCGAGAGAATGAAAGAAGACAAAGAATGGCGCACTTGATCAAGTATAAATAACAAGGTAACTCAATTTACCTTCCTCAAGTTCTTTTTTTAACGACTCTATGTGATTGACAAGATCCCTGAGAGTCGTGTCCGCGTGATCGTTGATCGCCCCAAATTTGGAAAGGACCTTGTCGACTTCGCGCTCGACGGCAGTGCAGGCCTCCATTGTTGTCTCTCTGCTGCACTGTGTTATTATTTTATCCGCTGCTCCAAGACTCCTAAATGCACTCGCTCTCTCTTCTTCCTCGTCCTTTTGGCTCTGCATATATGTGAGCAACGGTCCACGACTGCACGCAAACCGCTGATCTTCAGCTTCTGAACAATCTGCACTTGCTGTGTGTTATGTTTTTTTTCCTCTCTCTCGCTGATGGTTGCTGTCTACTTGTTTGCCCCCTCCGCGTGCACAGCGCAGCAGCAGCAGCTGACGTCAAAGTCACAGGGTTGCCAGATTGGTCAACTCTATACACTTGTACAGATCAATTTTTTTTTCTCATTCATACTTTTTTTTTTATTATTTGCTTGATAGAGCCTAACGAAGAAGTTTTCAATGACATTAATAAGCTTCATCAGATTTTTGTAACAAAAATTGTAATGATTAAAGATTTATTATGTTTTTTTTATTGAATATTTAGTGTACATTGTGTGTTGTGTGTGACAAATAAAAGGAACAGTTAGCAATTTTTTTTTTTTTTTCATCTATTCATTTGTTTGACGCTTGTAGAGCTGATAAGTTTAACAAATTTCAACTCAAGTATCTTATGCAACAATGTTTGCAAAACAATATCAAAAACAATCAGTATCCAAATAAAAATCAGTTTTTAAATAAATATCCTACAACACTTCACATTTATTCCTTAACGATAATAACGTTTCAGAAGCTTTGATATGACTGGTTGAAGATCAACGATTTATGGTTCAACATCCACTCCTACGATGAAACGGTGATCTATTACTGCTTACATCATCTGAGCAAAATAAAATTCTTACATTTCGTAAATTATATCCTGATGATTTAATAATAATACATCATTGGTTAACTTATGTACAAGACAGCAGGTGACGCAATTTACGCAAACGGATTGCTTTGCTGTAAACAAAAGAAAATGGAAAAATTGTTTATTGATTATTAATTGGAGGCATATCACACACATAAATGGAGTTTAGGCAAGGGAAAACATCTATTGTGGTTTGAATTGCACAAAAGATACATTTCAATCCTAACCCAGTGAAAATTAGTATTCAAAATATTCTCACCCACTCTCTGCCGATCAACAGTATTGTCTCATTTTTCAAAACAGGTCCTATCAGAGGGTTCATTTGTGCCATATAGCAGCATAGCCAGCTAAAAAAATAAAACAAACATTGATTAAAATTATCTTGTTTGAAACTACAGTTAGCCCAGCACGATTCAATCAAGTATAGGTAATGGGTACTTACAATAACCAGCAAGTAAAGGCTGTGAGCATCAAAATAACTTGCAAAATCCTAAAAATAAACAGATACTCAATCAAACGAGCCTTAATACTCATAAAGACGCAACGCTTGTAGAGTCAAAAGACAAATCAATGAAAATAACAGCCAGAGATTCTCCTGAAGCTTACCCCTTGTTTGGGCCAGCAGGCACGAGGAACGGCAGTACTACGCCCACCACGCCCCAAAGAGCTGTGAAGAAGAGTACTGGGAAGAACGCGGCTCCCATTTTTTGGCTAGTCAAGGACAACTTCGGGGAGAGAAAAAAAAAAGAGGCAAACTGGACCCAATATTAATTTTTGATCACGTATATCGCTCTGGAGCGACAAGGGTGTCTGCTCTACTGTCACATGACGATTGTTATCGAAGCGCGTGCGCTTCCCCTACTTTGCTCTTTGCGTGTATATCTATCGTTTGGTCGTTTCGACTGTTCGATCTTCGATTCAACTTAACATGTGCGCGATATTTCGAGGTATTGGGATTTAAAGATTTGAACATTTTTAACTCTCTGCTTCAAATATTTATAGATGAGTATAGTACCACAATTATGCATAAGAATCTTGGGACTTGGTTGTTATCGGACAATCTTTTGCAGCTTCTAAACATTCACCTCGTCTCCTCTTCATATAGATTTACAAAGGTAATTAGCGCTTCAGCCAAGTTCGAATGCAATGCTTTATACTTTTGTTTTTGTAACTTGTACTTTATTAATGTTTTGAAAAATTGTATAATAAAATTAAATATGTATTTTTATGTTATTGTGGAATGGGCCAACCGAGCGACCGACCAAACAATAAAGAATATAATGTACTTATTATTCTGGATGTTAAAAATACTTTTTGAAATAATTAATAAGCATTAAAATCGTAAATTAAATTTCTTTTTATTCAACCCAACGCAGTCAAATTTTTCACAATAGATAAATACAGTTAGATTAATCTTTAAAAATTAAACAATTAAGTTGATTAACTCTAACCATAATAAAATAATCAAATTAAAAAAATAGATTTTTAATAAATAAGATTAGCCTTAAATTATCACTGAATCGTTCGTGATTATTTAAAATATCTCGTCTCAGTGGCATCTTAATAATCAAAACTTACTGATAAAATACAAGAAAAATTAAATTAATCTTTAAGAAATACTGAATTAAGTCTTATCTTGATGTTACTTGCAATTATCACAATTTATAGAAAACGTTAATTTTGTTTTTTCTTTTTCTTGTTTTCTCCAAACTCGATCTCGCTGGCGCGTCTCCTCCGCCCGCCATCGAACACTCACCTACTTTTTTTGCAATTTTATTGATCTGCGATCTGTTCAACTGTTTCATTTTATCCACAGGGAAGCACGCATTGGCTTTCGAATTTCCCATTGAATCTGTACTCACATTCATGGCCGAATCCAATGTATCTGAAAGTCCCGTGAGATTCTCCAGTATGTCTGTAAAAAAATGATTACAAAAACCGGTAAACAAATGAATAAAACTTACACTGCATTATTTAGAGTCAATTTAATAGTCAATTTTTATACTAGTTAAATCAAGAGTCTCCGCCGTTAGATCTATTTCGTCATCATTCAAAAAGCTGTCTCTACTAAATAAGTGTTGCCTGACGTTTGATAAATTTCTCATGACCAGTTGATTTGGCGTACAGTTTTGTTTACGGGATATCGGAGTCTTGTACATGATGGACCATTCGGTACGCATCATGCGACCTTTTTGAATGTAAGGCATCAAGACCGACACGTCCGACTCGTTTCTCGGAACCGTATTGGCCGGTTGTATCGACAGTGGCTGTTTGTAACTTTTTACTAATAACATATAATTGTTAAATTACACTCTGTCACGACTAAATTGTAGACATGGTTAGAAAAAACTAATTCACCTGAGTAAGGAGTTCTTATGTATGTCATTGTCTTTTGGTCGAAAGGAAGCCCATGAATACTTGAAGGGAAACTTAATCCGTGATCTAAAAGTTCAAACGATTAACTAAGTATCAATTCATTAAATTTTGGTTAAAATGATAATGCGTGTACTTTTGTGGATTGATTTACTCAGCCCTTTTACTGATTGACTAGTTGATGTATTCATGCTGATTGAGTTGTTAATTATAGTTGAAAGTATGGGAAGTAATCTCTTAACGATTTTAAATACTATTTCGCATCTGTTTATTACTCGAAGTTGTTCAGGAGCTGTAGCCTTTTTGGGAAGAAATTTTTTCGACGCTTTATCAGCTTCATAGATGCCTATGATGAAATACAGTTGTGGTTGATGGATTGGTTTGGAAAAATAAAATATTTTACTAAATAATACTCTACCCGATTTTAGCTCGCGAATAATCATTAGCGTTTGTTTATCCACATTTTCTTGACCAATGTCTTCAATTGTAGCAGTGATTTGTGTGGCCAGTGATAAAGCTCTTTGAACCAAGACTTGTACTTGAGATTCAGTTATATCTTCTCTGTTATCCAAACAATCATACATTGCGCTGATTCGTTGTTGCAAATCATCTTGAACAATCTAAAGAGTTCTTATATTAGAGTATTTTTTTCTTTTAAACTAAAATAATTTTTTTTCTTACCTCACAGTAAGCTACTGGATCTATAATGACATTAACTGTGGCATGAAATTTATTCATTTCTTGTTGCCATTGCACAGTCAAGAGTTTGACACATGCACGCATTTCCTCGTTGTCAGGATGCAAATAAAAGGCTGTGATAGAAGGGATCAATTCCATTTCCAACGATTCAAAGCTAGCTAGGCAATTTTTTATTTTGGCAGCTCCTGTGAAGTTAATAATCTTATTTACATTGATGACATCATGGAAAATAAGAAAAAATATTGATTGTTCTTACGGTTTTTGTCCCTACAACACGCTATGGCAAACTTTCCAATCTGTACAGACTTATCAGATAATTGATCAAATTCTTCGATAGAAACGTTCAAATCTGTATTGGATCTTTCGCTTGCACTTAAAGACGATCCACAAGTTTTAATTAATTTTTTTAAAGCACCAAAAGGATCACTGAAAACTTCCATTACAAGTGTAAGGACCGAGAGATTAATTTTACGCTCTAATCTGTACAAGGCGTCAGTCAATGTGTTCATGAATAAATTATTCATTGTTGGATCTGAAGGATTAGAACGCAGTTGCGTTTTTAAATTTTCAAATTCTGTCAAAATGGTTTGGCACGTTCCACTTATAGCTTCGAAATTGTATGGCTGACAGACTTGAGCTATCGACATAGCATGTGCAAATACATCTTCGATTCCAAGCCACAGAGCGTCACACTCTTTGATCTGCTCCTCTTGTGTTTTGATGTGCATATTAGCAATAATATCTAGTACTAAGTCAATCCTATAAATAAATATAATGTTCTATTTATTTCTACCTTTTTAAATTGATTGAAAAAGCTTATATTTACTATTTTACCTGTAAACAAAGTTATTTTCTTCTTCCAAACGTTCATCTTCCACAGAAGGCAAAGGAGTTTCCAAGACATTTATGATTGCTTCAAAGCAGAAGCACATCCTCTCACATATGTATTTTTTACATGCCTAAAAGACGTACAAGTATTTGTTTTTAGTCAGCATAAAAATGTTCAGAACATACTGAACTTACATAATTAGGTGCATTCATTTGATGTTGTTCTTTTATAACTTGGACCAACATACTGAAGGACATGTACAATTGGCAACAGAACAAGGCTAACTTTTCTGACAGAAGATTTGATATCAAATTTTTTCTGTACAGCTGTAAGAGGCAAAACAAATCAGCAATTGATGTACCCAGTTCCTAAAACAAACAAATACATGTACAAAATTAAATTACGATAGTGAACGACATTTACTGGCATTCTGTAATACTTTGATGTTCTGTAAATCTTCTATCTCACAAGCGTTTCCCATATCTTTGACATAACTTAGACATTCTTCAAGACTTTGTTTCAAAGAAATAACTTCGGTTTCTTCCAGATTTTCCAACAACAATCCAAAGTTTTCAATCAATTTGGTAAATAAACTCTTATCAACCTGATTTTTTACTTCATGATCCTAAAATAGCACAAAAGGCTGCAGTAAATGAAAATTGAAAAAAATTATCTGCAAAAAAAATCTAATGAATTCTCAAGTACTTTTTGATCAAAGTCTACAGCACAGAAATCTTCGATAATAGACGTGATCTTTTTCTGCATATCTTGGTAAGTGTCAGCATTTTCTTTTGATGCACATTCAAATTTTTCAGCTAGCCTATTTAGCTGGTCCAAAACGAGTTTGCTCAGTAAAATCATCTCTGTCGAATCCTCAGAGTCGTAAAATACTAGCTTCGATAATTTATCGATCTGTAATTGATTATTGTTTGGCATCAATACACGTCAAAAGAAGATCGCGTAGAAAACGAATGCTAGTCGCTAGATTTACTTTTATGAAAAATCGTCAAGAAATCGCGAGCATTGACGAATTAGGGAATTTGTAAAATATTTAAGTATCTCCAAAATAATTACCTGCTCTTCAATGGGATGGAAAATCTTTAACATTTTCTTCGTTTTTAATGACATTTTCGCTTATTTTACTACCGCCGTAAATTGTCAACGCGTCAAAGTCGATGCGGCAAAATCTTGAATCCGACCGTTTACAAAACACTACTACCAAACAAGATAACTTCATCAGTTATTCAGTTTAATTCAGATCAGATGAAAGTGTGTGCCCACTATGTCGGTAACACGGATTCTGTCGTACCAATGACCGCCAGTAACAGACAATTGTATTACCGACATTCAACAATAGGTAAATACGATCCCTACTATGTTGACTGCAATACACGCGCGCGCTCTACAAAGCTGAAAGCACCCTCATCGACTTTCTGCGGGCGGTAGGGGTATATATAGGCAAAAAATTTGGTTTAGGTCACACAAACGGGTTATGTATAAGTTATGTTGTCATCTGATAACCTCAATTTTTTAAGTAAAAAGAATTACTATAGTTATTACCAGAGAATCTCTGAGATATGTTTTATATTTTCTGTTATTACCATTAAGTTGGATAAACATAACTCAGCAGCTACTTATTTAGAATATTGAAACACCTAAGGTATTGTAAAATATAAAAATTCGGTACTTAAGTACAAGTGTATTTTAATAATATTTTTCTTAAGCTCATACAAAGTGATTTACAGTAATAAAAAATCATCACATACAATATCTACCAATCAACAAATTGATTTTCTAAGACTTCATGTCACTTTTTGTAGTTTGTTGATGTGATTTAGCTGTTATACCTACTTGGCAGAAAGATAATTTAACTTAGACAAGTAATTTAAAACATTTCTGTGTTCTGCTGGTCATTTAATAACGAATGGTTTTTTGCAGAAAAAAAGGAAAGAGACCGATGATACTTGATAACACAAGAGAGCGAATCCATACACTTAGATTTCAAATAAAATAAACGGGTGAGTACCACACAAAATTATATAAACTGGAACTTGATACTTTACTTTTATGTATTGATTCGAGGTTTAATTCTCATAAAGACAAGATTGATTTGTCATTATAATAATTAAAGTACTTATTATGAACTAAAAATATTTTGTGAGATGCCTAGACCGTTCCTCCCTTGAGCATTTACCAAAAATTTATGTGTGAAAAATCGTTTTTTCTTTAACGCTACTGCATCATGCCTGGGTGAAAAATTAATTGTTATGTCAGACGTCATATTTATAAATTTTTTTTTTATATTATAGTGTACTGACCTCAGAAAGGTATGTACACTGTATATATATTAATATTGGAGGCTAACCATCACCCACGCGCAAACTAAATGAGCTACAAGAGATTAATAAATAAATAATAAAAACTTGAATAAATCGAAGTTTAATTTTGTGCTTATTTTTCTATCGTAGGTACACATGCCAATTAATCTCAATGCATTGCCAACAACTATTAAGTATACCTTTCGTGTGAAAATGTAAAAATCGTCACACGGCACGACCGAGCATAAAAAAAACGTCGCTCTGAAAATGCCGTAGATTAGACGCACCCAGCAGATGTGTGCGACAGAATCTCTCGTTTGGATTTAGAAATCCATACAGCATTTGGGGAAAGCACGTAGTAAGTATACACACATGATTTATCCCGTGACAGAAAAAAATAAGCCACGCTCGTACAATATACTGTATCAAAGGCGTATAAAGTAGTTGTCGGCTTTCAGCGTTCAAAATAAATTCCAAAAGAAAAGTGCCCCGCGACGATCACGTTCCTTCCGTTAGTGCGACGCGCTATGGAGTCCCAAGACGTGCTAAGGTCAAGTTGAAAGAAAAAAAAAAAATTAAATGCCAATCGAGGAGAGGCAGGTGCGTGTGTGTATTATATAGGCAGATGCCGGAGGATGACCCGAGAGAGCACGTGCTTCCTCGTTTGGCTTTTGTTGTGGAATGTTGTGCCTTTGTCGATTCATAAATTCTAGCGGTGGCTGCTACATTGCCTGATGTGTGTTGCCCTCTGGAATGCGAATTTTCGCTCCTTCGAGAAAGAATCACTCTTTGTGTTAATTTTTTTCTTTTGGACTTTGTATCGGGAAATTTGTTTTTGACGGATTTCCGCTAAATGAGTCTCAAAGTATCGGAGGTGCGATTTTGAAGCGGATTTATTTCAAGTACGTGAAATACGTATTATTTTTGTTTTCTGGGTTCTTAAAAAATTTTTTTGGCAACGGCATGTCCGAAACGTTATTTTCATTTTTTTTTCCTTCAAAAATTCTTACCGTGTGACTCACTAGATTTCAAATGAGTGTTATACTAATCACTGTTGACATGAAAATGGAAAACTGAAATTTGGGCATCGTCTGTAGTTTGGTGAAATGAAATACTGTTTTTTTTTATGTATATTTATATTTATTTTTCTAAATTACGTTTAAACAGTAATTATGTTGCAAAATTTTGGAAAATCTATAAAACTCGGACGTTCTTGGCATCGATATCAATCAACGACAAGGCCAAGTTGATTTGCATGGTCATAATTTTTTTTTTTTTTTTATCATTTTTAAAACGATCGTGACAAATGATGCGAATAATATTTTTTTTTTATTTTCATGCAACATCTATATCGGAAAGTCATTCATTTACTTGTATGCATGAATCGCTCGCCAGTGATTGTTTGCAAAAACACTCAAGCATACATCATACAAAACGCAATTATTGTACAAATCTATCGATTCAATAAATTACTAAAACGATACACACAAAGCACATTTGCATATATGTACATAATTATATAAAAATCGCTAAAGTAAGTGAATACAAAATGTAATCCCGTATCGCAAGACGCTTCGAGTATTTTTATCGAGAAAATACACCTAGAAAAAGATCATATTTTTATATGCACGATGAAAAAAATTAAACAAATGTTCGAACACCAGCGATTAAAGTCCTTGCAAAATGTATAAACAACAATTACAAATTATAATACAGTGGTAAATCGCTTTGTAGCCGCTAATCACCGATTTCGATGATGGGGAAAAAAAAAACAATAATCATAGCGCACGACGAAAAAACACATAATATTAATATCACAGTTAAAAAATGCCGGCGGGCGATCGGCACGTTGTTATTATTATTATTATTATTATTATACAAAAAGATATACGTACAGTGAGAAACAGAGATAAGTATAGATCGTAAGAGAGAAAGACAGAGAGAGAGCTTTCGAATCGGTCGGTAGGTCGATATAATTATATCTTACACAAAAGTTTATTTATATTTTTCTCGTGTACTATTATTATTCTTGATATCCTTTTTTCGCCTTCAAGCAAACACACTTTCGCATACTTGTCCCACGCGGTGACTCGTCGTTCGTATACACCGTGACGATTCTTCCGTTTTCTTTCATTTTTTTTTTCTCCCTCAATTGCGAACGTGTGCCACGAATAGTATCTATAGATTTAATGGTGTGTCAATAAAAAAACGGCGAGTAGAGACTTTCGAAGCAGCTCGAAAGGTAAATGCACGACAGGAAAATGAAGGAAGGGGCAGCGAAAATGAGCCCAGTTTGTATGTTCCGAGCGAATTCGGTAGCTTCTTTTTTTTCTTCCCCCTTTCATTCTTATTCCTCTTCTGTTTCTGATGCATCGGGACGGACGTGCTGTCGCGCGCCTGAGTCATAAGTAGGCCTTTTTTTTTTCTCCCCGTGACGCTTTCGTTCGCATACAAGTTACTCCATCATCTACATGTTACTGGCTCTGGTTTTTTCCCTTTCGCATCTGCAGCTCGACGAATCTCGGCTGTTTTATAGATCGGCCGACGCGTCACGTTTTTCGCTTGATAAATTTTCCGACGCACTGTATTCGTGCAGGTTCAAGTATTCATTGTACCATCCGGACAATGGCAATGATCAGTTACAATGGTCCTAATCCCACAACGATTGCCGGAAAAAAAAAAAAAAAAAAAAAAAAAAAAAAAAAAAGTCAATACAATGAGGTTCTCGAAGAGTAACGAGAAACAAACAGCACCTTTACCTCGATGGAAGAGGGGGAGGGGAATGAAATAGTCCAAACGTATACGGACGCTCGGTCAGAGTGAGTCACGTGGGCCGATCGACTGCACTTGTCAACGCGCGCCTCAACAGGACCAAAGAGACGAACAACGGATGTACAACGGAAGGACGGGCCGTTCAAGAGCAGGCGCACTCGAGGACCTTCATGTCCTTCCAATTGGAGACCTTGAGCTTGGTGGGATCCTCCTCGTCGAAGTAAAGTATGTCGATGTCCTCGAGCTTGCTCGGGGCGCAGCAGGGCCTCGGCACCCTCGTCCTGTTCTCCTTCCACATCAAGCTCTGGAGTATGGCGTGGTGGGTGGCCGGGTTGTAGCGGGGCGGGCACCTGCCCCGGCAAAAGCCCGCGTCGAAGCTCCGCGGCTGGATGATGAAGTCGAAGCCCTCGATGTCCGTGAACTTGACGTGCATGTGGTGCCGGCAGCACTTTTTGCTCTCGCCCCGGCACTCGGTGCGCCGGCCCCGGTGGAGCGACATCAGGTGGCCCCCACGAACTCCCGAGGCGGACAACGTCGACGCCGAGCGCCTGACCCGCGAGGCCCGCGTCGACGTGACGGCGTGGACGTTCAAGGTGCCAAAGGTCGCGCTCCACCTGGACAACGGCCTCTTCCCGTCTTGCCGATCGTCCCTCTGAAGAGGAGAAAACAAAACAAACACCGTAGATATAAAATATATATATACATATATCCATATCTCGAGTAGCGCAAAACGGGTGTGCGATTAAATACACCTTGTACATGTACACCTTGTGATGCGCGTGTTTTACCTTGTGCCACAGTTGGACGATCAGGTGGATGGGCGTGGGGAGCGAGCGGAGCCTCGCCTCGAGCTCGCTCGTGAGGTCGAGGTCGATCCAACGCCGGCGGGAGTCGTGGATCGTGCGGCTGGCTATGAGCTCGGCCACCCCCGTTTCGTTGCGGCTGCTGTAGACGCGCACCTCGGATTCTCGTTGGCTCGTCGAGTCCGTCGTCTCTCGGTGGTCCAAGAGGAACCTCAGCACCGCCGATTCCACGCTGCCGATGCTGTGGCCCTCGAGCGGCGACGCGGAGATCCTCAGCTCGATGCCCGCGCCGTCTCTCATCGGCTCGTCTACGATTTAGGGATGGACACGTACTTTGAGCACAATACACGGACACCGGATGGATAACGTTTGGAAGATTATACGCTTAAGAGAAGGATTTTGAGTGCTTTCGGGAAAAGCCTTTCGAGATAAGCGTTGGACGCGATGACGGAAAAAAATCCCGAAATTCTTCGTACGAGGCGGTGATTCACGGTCGAGTGAATCGGTACTCTCGCGCTCTCCGTTCGATATATATGTATACTAGTTGTGGTTTTGTTTTTTTCATTTTACAATACATGTCACGGGAGATCCCGAGAGTACGGCTAGGCACGACCATCGATTTGTTATTGTCGGAGGATAATACAACATGCGAAAATATAAAGTCAGCATCCGAAAGCCATTAAATGGAGTCGCAGAGGTCCTAGTACACACGGAGAATATTTAACAACACGTACTCACGCGGAAAGGAACTCGCCAAACATTTGTCTTGCGGCTCATGTTGTACTTACTCGAATGTATACCCGTACACCCGGCGTCTTTCGAAATGAACCTACATTTTCTCTGATGTGACCGGTACCACGTATTATCATGAGAAACACACTGAAAAATGATGGGGAAAGGGAGGGTGGATATTTAAATAAATTTAAAAGTTAAGCAACAGGCGACCATATGATGATGGGTACCAACAGAAGCTCTGCTTTTTTGTTTTCCAGCTGTGAGGTGAAAAAAAAAGGACCAAGGCGGGAGCAAACACGTGCTTCGATCGGCAGTAAATGGCACCATGGAACAAGGCGTTGGAAATGAAGGACATGCAAGTCAACTTCGAGGTACCGGCTTACACCCAATTTCAATAAATTGAAAAATCGAAAAAAAAGAAAAAAAAAGATTCCACATTTTTCGTACGCCGTAGTCAATGAAGTCACGAGCAAAGCTCCTATACATATACAGAGCGTCGCGTTCCAAAGCCCCGCGAATAGGCCAATAATAGTCGGTGAAATTATAACTGCCGATGAATAGCAAAGCTCGGAATGCGCCCAAGTATGTTTGTATGTACAAGGTCCAAATACGCTATGTATACGCGGTTGGCTTTTTGGGGGAAATGTATCGGTTCATCGTTCGAGCGATTAGCAGGTGCGTATTGCAAGATGGATGAATCGAACGGGCTGTGGTGCATCCCACGCGCCACGTCATCCCCCTTTTCCCTTGAAATAGACCCCTCGCGTGCACCAACGCTGCTCCAAATAAATCCGACACGCGCCGCTTGCAGGCTTTCCTCCCGCGTAACCGATTCCCTCGTCGGAACAACTTGAGCTTTTACCAAACAGTCGCGCGTGCCTCTTACACCGGCTCGCACCCCCTCGCCCCATTGGTCTATTTAGAGAGGAACAACAGCACCAATCCTATTTGTCGGTAACCGCTCATATGTTTATATTACACAGTCGGGAGTTTATCGAGCGCGAGAGGGTGACTGCTCAACCGTCCTCCTCCGCGCGGTTAGTACATGCAAAATAAATGCAGTTGCAAAGTCGACGTTTTAGTTAAGTTGGAGTAGGGTGTATCGATAAGGAGCGTTGTAGGCGAGACAAGCACGTTTCGAAAGCCCTAGGCCTCTTCTCGGGTACGTGTAGTCCGGAACCCGAGCTACCGATTTAGATATCGTGAGGAACGAGAGGCAGCGCGAGTCGTCGTCAACAAACGGTACACCGCGCGACTTTCTCTCTCATCTGCAACACGTGTACTCGGGGAGCGTAAAAAATTATACACCTATACCATTCCCATGTTCTGTATACACATGATGTATAAATGTACGCGGGGGATGAGTTATTGTATCACCAATGGCTCGAGATCTACCCGAGCGTGCCGTGCGTGTCACAATAAACGACGCTTCTTCGGGATTATCTCTTTCCCTCTTCTTCTTCTTTTTTTTTTCTCTCTTTTAATGACGTCGTCCCCCGAAAAATCTCTTTCATCCGTTGCTGGATCGTAATATTGTAATACATTTAGGGGGCGAGAGATGAAAAAGAAAAGGAAGTAAAATTTTTAAAAAACGCGTTCGACGACGATGATTCACACTCGCAAGTGTTACAGCCGTGTCCATATCATCACCAAGGGGGGTACGAACGACACATATATGCACGCGAGGAAAAGAAAAAAAAAAAAAAAAAAAAAAAAAAAAAAAAAAAAAAAAAAAANTATTAACCCGTGAGCGTCGATCGTCGACGTTTCCTATGTTGTGTACGAACCAAAGACTCACGCTAGATGTACCGATTTCCGCGTCGTCCTTGCTGACGTAGCGTACATATTAAAATGGCTCGAGAATAAACAGAAAACAGAGAAGAAGAAAAAAAAAAAAAAAAAAAAAAAAGAAGAGAGAAAGGTATTTGGATGCGAATCCTCGCACCTCATTGACTCGAAACCCCTTTGTCGATTTCACGAAATGTATCAGTTATGCAGTAGTTAATGGGACTCGAGCAAGGGTAGAGAGATCATAAAAAAAAAGAAAAAAAGAAAATTAAGAGAGACAAGTGGGAACACATAGTAGATGATACCAATAATTCCCAAAGTAGAGCAATGACTGAAGCTAAAGCGCGGGGGGTTGGTGTACCCATTGTCGTGTACGTACAATAATGTATTGCCGTATCTTTTCGTTAGCCGTTTTCCTCTATTTTCAACGTGGCAAGCTATACTCTATCGTCAATTTATTATATACGTTGCAACATAAAACCGAGTGAACTTTGCGCAATGCAATTATACCTCGCACGTGCTATGTACATGCATGTGTACAGGTAAAAAGTGGAGTAAAGAGAACAAAAGGAAAAAGCTCGAGGGGGGGGGGGGGGGGTAAAATTCACTTACCCCGAGCGTACATCGTAAAAAGCCTCCTGATGTGCGCTCCGTCGTCGGTGGTTCCTTCGGCCGAGCGGCGTAACCTCGTCATGTACTCCTTGTGCGCCCTTTCGTACTCGGCTTGACTGACGTTCGCCTGCACATGCGTGGACAAAAAAAAAAAAAAGTCAATTATTATGTATAGAGGGTGCAATTGCAACACTCGATAGTACATATTCATACACGGGCTTTAAAGCCATCGTGTGTATACCTTTCGAAGACCCCGTGTTAACGCTCTCTTTTTTTTTTTCAACGTACATCATATTATGTATTAAGCTCGTACTCGATTATTCGTTACTCTTGACTTAAAATCTTCTCGTGAAAATCAAACGAGTATTTCCTTGCCGATAAAAGACACCTCGATCATTTTAAACGCGCGTACACATCTACCTATACTTATATTCTTCTATTGAAACACTTGTGCAACGGACGCTATTTACGAAAAAAGGGCAGCTGTTGATAAAAAAAAAAAAAAAAAAAAAAAAAAAAAAAAAAAAAAAAAAAATCTATTGTTGAAATAACCGATGAGTACAGGTGTATAGGTGTATAGGTATATATGTATATAAATGCGCACCGGGTGTACCAATCATAACTCTTCATCCCTCGCCCTCTAGATCTTAGTCCCTCGGATGCTGTACATTAGTGCGTCTGAGGATGTCCTGACGAGACGCGAAAAGTGCAGTCTGGCAAACGCGAGGGTAAAAGTACATGAGCGCGGTATACTTAATGTTTCAGCTTTCAAATCAAAAGCACGATGGCAGACAAGGGGAGAAAGAGAAAAAAAAGTATGTGTATATACTATACGGAAAGCGGCATAGTACCAGTGACGTCACCAAAATGAAACTCACGACTCACGTGAGTATTACCAATGTTGTAGTATATAGCCACGAGCAATAGAAAATTATTATTATCATTATTATTATTATTATTACTATTATTATCTCATTACTTTCACCAGCAATTTCTGAAGCCGTTATTAGTTTTTCAATCCATTAAATACAAATATATTTGCATAAAATTAGTACATGTATGTTTAATATACCTATGCATGTAGGTCAATATATATTTCACTTACAAACGCGTGAGACGAGTGATGAGAGAGAGAGAGAGCGCGTATCATGTGTATTATATACACGCACAAGTGTAAAATTGTAAGTATAATAAATGTACCTATATATATATAGTGGCGATGAAGTTGTTCATTGATGAATCCAAGACTAAAAATACGCCGGAGGAGCGTATATATACTTATGGGTATAGTAATGAACTATATAAAGAAACGCGTGCCTATTATCATCTTCTTTGCTGATAAAACATAAATACATATAAAGAAGCGTGGAAATGCGCTTCGTCTACATTGCATCTCTATGTACACCAATAGGTACATTAAAAATGTATATTTTATAGTTAGATATATGCCCGTATGCGTGTCCCTTTTGTTTATTGCTTCCAAATATTGATAAAGCATGGGTATATTTTTATGTATATAAGGTATTTGGTCAATCGCTGTGTAATCGCTCCGTATATAGTATCGGGTATATAATATACGTATTTTTTATTTATTGTGCCCGAGTAATCGCATATGTGTGTATGTATGCGGGGAATGTTCATAGATATGCACGTTATTTACGTAACAAGTGATTGTTAATGAGAGAACTCGGATGAAGCGAAAAAGACAAAAGTTGCAATTGTCGAGCGTTTAATGTATAGGATTCGAGGATGTCGATATGATAATAATGATTATAGTGTAATGTAAACCTGTACCAACGAATTTAATCCATGAAGAAGAATGAAACCTCTGCAGCTGTTTTTTTTTTTTTTTTTTTTTTTCACAATAAATGATGCGCTTTGGTTCAACGCCCGTTATCTCCTTCTTGTTGCAGGTTGTATACGCGTACAATCTAATCTAATAGGGCACCGTTTGAGAATAGAAGCGGAAAAAAAAAAAAATACGCTATCGACTCGAGAAACAAGTTATTGGTTACAACTCCGAGTTGCTAGCACATACAAATATTTGAAAAATCGCGTGTGCTCGATTTTATTACGTATTCTCAGTTGGCACGCGGTTCCCTCCTTCACACTTTTGCGAAGCAGTTCTTCTAGGATTTCTTTTTCTTTTTTTTTTTTTTCCATCACAAGTGGTGGTGTTGCTCTTTCCATTGTTATACAGTGCTCGCATACACATCACAAACACATGATTTACCGAGTGCACTTTTGGAGTGGGTGTATAGGTACACATGTATTATAAAGGGAGGTACGTACGGACACAAGAGTGACAGAGATTGGGTCCCGTGCACTCGAGAGAACGGTTAAGCGTAAAAGAGAACTGGGAGGGAGGGGGGGGGGAGAAGTGCTTGCAAGCCATCAGGAGTGAAAAGCTTATACCACCGACTAACGGCGCACAATGTTATTGTTCCCTCATCGCTAATGCATTGTCCAAGCGCTTTTCAGATACAGTAAACTCTCGCGCTCACTCACACGCAGTAGGTACAGGATAAGTAGTGCAAGTACATAACAGCAGGAGGAGGAGCAGTGGTTTATCCATATGTGCTTTTATACATATACTCGTACTGTATTGCAGGGAGGGCGCGATTTGCTTGCGGTGTGGAAAACGGACGAAAAATATACAGAGCTATACCTGTGTGTGTATACATCACGTACATACGTAGGGCAGGAGCTTGCGACACGATTCAGTTATTCAGGTCGAGCTCATCATCGGTTAGTCGTCGCCGGTGAGCTTTTTGCTCGTCTCTCGACGCTTTTATACTTTTATACACGGTGACTTGTGTAAGTACCCTTTGCAGCACAGATCGTTGACACAACATATATAGGATTGGATGCATATACTTTATTTTCTCACCGAAATTAAATTTGATTGATTAAAAAAAAAAGAAAAAAAAAAAAAAAAAGATCGTGTCATCCATCCGCTCGTTACATTCATCGTGATAGAGTACATAAATCGTTATGACATTACGCAATTTGCCAACGGAGATCACATGTATGTATACACATTATATTATTATTATCTCCGCAGCCGAGTCACGCGTGATACCCAAGACGTACAAAATCCCCATACTTTCTTCCCCGTCCCCGTCAGCCACCACCGGATGAATGGGACGGAACTTTTTGATCTCTGCAGTATAGGTATACGCGCATCGACGCCTTCGTCGCCAAACATCCAACCCATGCATGCAAGTAACGCAAATAATACGTATACTTGCGTTGCACGCGACCAACCTCCCGCTCATTATCAATATAACCGGTGAATAGACGGCCTAATCAGTTCGGCGAAGTGCCCGAGCCATGTTATACCCACACAGCTCTCTCTCTCTCTCATTACTATTATAGAGCATATGACTCACGTATGGGACGCATCGTTGCACGCTTCTCGACTCCGGAATAGCCCGATTGCACCCACATATATATACCTAATAATAGCACCTACATCTCTTCCGGATGAGGTTGATTATATTCTCGTTTTTGTTTTGCGGATTTCGTGGTAGTGTTTTCATGTACCTATGTGCAGGTACGCCTATACTCAAAGGTAACAAGTTGTTGGAACGATTACTCATCGGGCAATCGAGATGCTATCGGATTGATATCGACACATCTTTCGGGATCCAAGTTCATTAAACTGTTGGTAACGAATGACGTGTTTTTGTGATGTTAATTACTGGGTGTCGAAGAGCTTGCGGGAAGGAAAAAAAAAATGTAGCGAAACCTCGAATCGTCAATTGAGTATAATTTTTTGCGAATAACAAAATACGTTTTTAATAAAGGCTCGTCAATTGGTGTCAACGTTGTTTCTCCAATATCATAATAAAACGTGACAAAAACAACATCGTCGCTTCCAACTTCTAACGCGTCGACGCAAATCGTTTGATAAATCATGCCGATCTTCAATTACCACGTGGTAATCGCGTGCGCAATTATGCTAATCGAAAAGAAACCCAACACGCACGCCCATTTATACCAGCGAGCAAAGCCTTAACATACCTATATACTGCGGTAGTGTTTATTTTTATTTTTATATATACACATACGAGCGTGCCATACAGGTACATGAGTACATTTTACGTCATTTATTCACAATGTCTTTCGCATTTTCGTATAATTTGATAAAACGTAAACCACACGTAGGTACTTGTCATTATCATTGTCATATATTGTTATATTTTGATCGAAAAGACATAACACAAATTTCAATGGAAAAAAAAAAAAAAAAAAAAAAAAAAAAAAAAACTACAGACAGTTAATCTCGTTGGTACCAAGCAAACAAACAGTTGTAGTCGTTTTCCTCGTAATGTAAGATTGACTGAACCAATTATTGCACAATCGTGTAATTCAGTCCAGCGAGGTCGCAGACCAATTAGGCATGTATATATAATATATAGACTGGCAGCTCTCAAATAATAAACTCAATCAATGAAATTTTTCACGTTATCGCCGAATAGGCGATGTATCTTTTGATCGAAATTCAATCGGAATGCCGATTCCCGAGATAACAGCAAAAATGTCGAAAAGTATCTTAACGACCCCCAACTCCAGGAAATGCGCGATCGAGAGCCGATCGGTACATATCACATATATGTACTTATACGCAGATGAGCCGAGATATAGAGCACCTGCCACCTCCTTACCTTGGCCTAGATATAATCACTCTCTCTCTCTCCTTTTTTTTTATCTTTTGCGCAAAGAATCCCGTATAATCGTCTGATGCCACAGCAAAAAGGACATACCCACCAATAATGTGCATAGTCCATGATACGCAGTTCGCACGCTCGTTGTACCATATCTATGCCCAATTTGATAAAACTCGCACACGTCGGACGACAGGTTGAGACGTAACGTTTATATAAATGCCGTTTGCTGGTAATGAGCATTGAGGGGGAAAAAAAAAAAAAAAAAAAAACGCGCACAATGCCAACGCAACAAGAAACCGGTTCACTGAGCATTGACACCCTCGCCATGAATCGCTCGTTCTTCGCCTGCACGCCTAATATACATATATGCAAGAGACACGCCGTGTACGAGTTCATTGTGTTATACACCGGGTGCACCGCACGTTCTAATGCACGAAAAATTACGATAATTGCC